AGCTTCCTGTGTTTGCCTGTAACCCATCCCAGCCTCCTGTGTTTGCCTGTAACCCCGTCCCCAGTCTCCTGTGTTTGCCTGTAACCCCTCCCAGCCTCCTGTGTTTGCCTGTAACTACCCCCTCCCAGCCTCCTGTGTTCACCTGTAACTAACCCCTCCCAGCCTCCCGTGTTCGCCTGTAACCCCTCCCAGCCTCCTGTGTTTCACGTCACAGGTGAACCCTGGCCAGTGTGTCTTCCTGGGGGGCTCTTGCCAAGGCCCAGAGAGCAGCCCTCCAGCTCTGAAGGCAGCTGACTGGCCCTACCCCTATCTCCCCGCAGGGCCCTTCAGGACCCAGGGCTCTACACAGAGGGCTGCTTCTGCCCGCCAGGCCTGACGCTTTTCAGTGAGAGTAGCCCCGTCTGCGTGCCCAACTGTCAATGTACGTCAGGGACAGTGCTCTGGGGCGGGTAGGGGCAGGGTGGGGTGGAGAGTGTACCTGAGACTCTCTGCCAGGGCTTGGGGTCCCCCGGTCCCCTGTGTGGTTCCTGATGCTGGACCCCACCCCATCAGAGCTGGGCTGGGGCTGCTGGGACAGACCCTCATTCACCTGTCTCCCTCCAGGGTGCCTGGGGCCAAACAGAGAGCCGGTGCAGGTGAGTGTGGAGCTGGGCTCTGTGGTTGGGAGTCCAAACCCCTGTGTCTGACTGCAGGGCAGGGGTCCAAGGGCGGGGCAGAGAGGGATGAGACCCCAACAAGGCCGTACTCACCATGTGCCCTCTACCTCCCAGAGAGTGTTGGGGCTCTGTGTCCGGGGGGATGCCTGGTGTGGCCCCACGTTGCCATGTTCTTCCTTCTATGGGGCCTTCTGCTCTGCTGAGACACAGTGACATTGTGCAGCAGGGGAAGGTGGCTGGTCACCAGCACGGTGGGGCTGAGCCTCTCTGCCCTGGCCCCTTCCCACCTAGGGCTGTGGTGGGCATGTGCCCTTCCCCAGCCTGGTGGTGTCTGTCAAGGGGTGCTCCACCTGTTTTCTTGGTGGAAGCCTCCCTGGGGGCTCCAGGACCATCTAGCCTCTCCCCAAGCTCAGCAGAGGGCTCCAAGGGGCTCGCGGCCCTCCCTGCGTGAGGAGGCCTTGTGCTAACCCCTGACTAGCCCACTTGGCCTTCTCCCCCACAGCCAGGCCAGACTGTGGTCACCAACTGCCAGGAGTGCACCTGTGAGGGCAGCACCCAGACCCTGACCTGCCGGAAACAAACCTGCCCGCCACCCCCACTTTGCCACAGGCCTGGCCATGTGCTGGTGCCACTGCCCCTGCAGGCCAGCCAGTGCTGTGCTGAGTACCATTGTGGTAGGCCTGGGCTGGTGCTGGGTGGGCAGCACGCCAGTGGCTGGCGGGCCCCAGCCTGGGGGTGGGGTGGGTGGGGCACCCTCTGCCCAGGCACATGGGACAGGCAGTATCACCAGGGACACTCCCTCAGCCCTGCACTGTGCTTTGGCCTGACACACTGGCGTGCTGCCTGGGGGGGGGGCCCAGGTGCTGGCCCTCAGGGGTACAATGCAGGAGTGGGGGACGGACGGCAGGAGCCAGCACCCTGCACCCTGCTTCGGCCCCAGCTGTGACCCTGACTGGGCATGCTGGAAGTGGGGGAGTTTGAGGGAGGGTGGGGCTCCTCCCTGCCTTTGGGGAGCCTTTTGGCAGGGTGCCTCTGGAGGGCCTGGGAGCCAGGCAGGCCCTGAGCCCTTCTTCTACCCCCCCCCCAGTCTGCAACACCAGCTCCTGCCCCCAGCTCACGCCCTGCCCCAAGGGCTCGCACTTGGTCCCCACTAACAAGGAGGGGGAATGCTGCCCCAGCGGGATGTGCGGTGAGTGCAGGGTCCACCCCTGAGGACCAGCGACAGGCTCCAGCAAGTAGTCTGTGGTCAGAGCAGCAGAGGGGCGGAGGCAGGGCAAGGGTGGGTCCAGGTGGGATGGTGACTTGAGCTGAGGGGTTGGAGCCTTGTCTAAGGAGGTCAGCAGGGCCAGGTGAGTTAGGGGTGTGGGGCAGGTCAAGGTGCGGGTGGGCTGGGAGGCGGAGCAGGAATGGAGTCCCAGTCAGGCAGGGTCTGGAGGTCTGTTTGTCTTTCCTAAACAGTTTATGACGTCTGTGTTGTCAACGGCACTTTGTACCAGGTGAGAGCCAGCTGAAGGGGAAAGAGAGCCCCTCTCCTGTGACCTCTCCAGGGCCCCTTTGAGATCGGCTTTGTCGTCAGAGGGGTGGCCTCTGAGCAGCCTGGGCTCTGCCCCCTCAGACCCTGACCCCAGCGTGTGCTGCCAGGACCACAGTGGCGCCTAGCTCAGGGCTCTGTCCATGAGGGTGTCGCCCAGGGGGCAGGTCGGGGTGGGGCAGGGACGGGGCCAAAGTGACTCTCAGAACGGGGTGGGGGGCACAAGAAGGAGGGGTGGCTCTCGGGAGCTTGCTGACGCCTACCCTCCTGGTCCGCCCCCAGCCTGGAGCCGTGGTCTTCTCCAGCCCATGCGAGACTTGCAGGTGTCAGGCGACAGGAAACCCCGAGACAGACCCGTTCGTGGTGATCTGCCAGACTCAGATCTGCGAAAGCCACTGTCCTGCGGTGAGCGGCCCTCCCATCCCTCCCCTACCCCAGTCCTCACCTCACCCCCTCCGGCCGCAGGTCCTGGGCCGGCTGTGGGCTCAGGCCGCCCATTGCTGTCCCTGCAGGGCTTCGAGTACCGTGTGCCGGCGGGACAGTGCTGTGGCTCCTGTGTGCAGGTGGCCTGTGTCATGAACACCCGTGACAACTCTTCCCACGTCTTCTACGTGAGCGCCGCACATCGTGGGGTGGGGTGGTGCGCCCTGTGGGACATCGGGCACTTGGGGGCCAGGATTGAGAGCCTTTGGCCTCAGGGGCCGGGGAGGGGACCCAGGGCAGCCTCTGCAGTCCAAAGCAGCCCCTGAGGCAGGGACCTGCCCCACAGCAAAGCCCCTGGAAGGCCAGGGGGCCACCTGCTGGAAGCCGTGGGGGCCGGACTCCGGCGGGCGTGGTGGGCGGGGCACTCACAGGGCGGGGCTTCCTCGCAGCCTGGTGAGACCTGGTCAGAGCCCGGAAACCGCTGTGAGACACACGAATGCGAGAAGCACCAGGACGGGCTCGTGGTGGTGACAACAAGGAAGGCGTGCCCTGCGCTCCACTGCCCTCGGGTGCGTTCCGGAGCCCACCCGCCCCGCCCTGCCGAGAGTGGACCGGCCCCGGGACCGGGCGGCGCACCCGGCCACCCGGTGCCTCCGCACTCACCGAGCCCACCTTGTTCACACAGGACCAGGCCAAGCGCAGTGAGGATGGTTGCTGCCTCCTCTGCCCACAGCCGTCCCAGAACAGTAAGTGGGCATCCATGGTGGGGCCTGGTCCCCCCGGAGGGCCGGGGGCGCAGCCAGCCCTAACCCGGCCCACATCCCCTGTGCTCCCCAGGGTCCACCTGTGCCGTGCACCACAAGCAGGAAGTCATCCGGGACCGAGGCTGCAGCTCCAGCCAGCCCGTGCAGCTTGCCTACTGTCGAGGCAACTGTGGGGACAGCTCCTCAGTGTACGTGCCCCAGGCTGTGCTCCGAGGCTCAGAGGGCACCGCAGGGCGGTGTGAGAGGACATGTAGGCAGTGGGGAGCCATCCGGGCCACCCGGTGTCAGGAGTCCTGGGCACAGGAGGGCAGACTGTGAGGGAGGGGCCTCGGGTCCTACAGGGCACAGCTGGTGGCAGGCTGCAGGGTCTGGGACTGGGCTGAGGGGTGGGGGCCTCAGAGACCAACAGCCCCATCCTGTTTTGAATCACGATGCGCCACCTTTTACTGAGACTCTAGGCCTCAGTTTCCCTACCGGAAGCTCCTCTGGGACTACTGAGGGCTGACTGACTCAGTGTGTCTCAAATGCACTTACACTGGGAGCGTTTACACCACGGCAAGGGGCAAAGGCTGCAAATCAGAGGTGGTTGGTTTTTCTGTTTTCTGGTGAGTGGGCTATTAGTCCCTAGAGTGCTGCTATCAAGAGCGTGGCACCAGGCCTGTGGCACTGCAGTGGACGTGTGTTCGGGGGCCCCTGGGGCAGGCTCAGGCAGCTCGCTGTGGCACCTGGTGCTGAGCAGTCCCTGCCCACAGGTACTCCTTCGAGGCCAACATGATGAAACACAGGTGTCAGTGCTGCCGGGAGCTTCGGACGGCCCTGAGGAATGTGACTCTGAGCTGCCTGGACGGCTCCACGAGGGCCTTCAGCTACCGCCACATCGAGGAGTGTGGCTGCATGGGCCCACAGTGCGACGCGCCAGGCAGCCCCAGCCACTCAGAGGAGTCGGAGTCTGAGCAGAGCAAAGATGAAGGCGACAGGGAGGCGCTGGCGCAGTGGGACGGAGGGAAGGCCTCACTGGCCCCCAGGCACTGACCGCGGCCCTGTGCTGGTCCCCCACCTCCAGGGCACACCGAGGAGTATGGCACATGCCTTCTCTCTTCTCAGCCAGTGGAACTGGAGCCCCTGGCCAAGGCGGCTGGGATCCGAACCACCATCTCCTAAGGCCACCTGCACTGGCCACAGCTCCCCAGCCTGTGGGCCTGGCCTGGGCCAGCCAGGGCTCCTCTGGCCTTGGGTCCCATCAATGACAGTTGCATGGTAGGACCTGGAGTCTCCCTTGGACGGGGCTGTCATGCTACCTCGGCCCTGGGCCCGTTTCCCCTCAAGATGGTTGATTTCATCAATACACTGAAGCATTTTGCAGTCCGTGTCTCTGCGTTTCTTTGCGTCAGCACATCCGGGATGGGGTGGGGCAGGCCCAGAGCAGGGTGCGGGACTGGAGTGGTCAGGCTAGTGAGCCAGCCCGTTTGGCCCCTGGCATGTGTGGCAGGCAGCCTGGCAGGCTGGGGCCAGGGCTGGCCATTGGATCATCCTGGGCTCAGGGTCCTGCCCGTGTGTCCTGCTGCTTCTGTCTAGGTCCCAGAGGGATTCGGGGCGCTGTGGACACTGTGGACGCTGGGCAGAGGGTGTGGGCGGTACAAGGGAGGGGTGGGCAGACGGCCACACAGATGTTCTCCCAGGACGTGCACAGCTCCTTGTCTCGCAAAGAGGAGGCATGGCTTACTGGAGCTCAGGAGGGTGGGCAAGGAAGGTGGTCTCATGCCTCCTCAGAATTACACGTCCACAACATCTAGGTTATCCAGCCCAGCTTGGGCCGGGCCCCTGGGATGGGTGAGGAACCCATGTTCCCTGCAACCACCACTAGGTGGCAGCATAGCCAGCACCTCCTAGTTCAAGCTGGGTCCTGGGGCCCTGGCCGCTGAGTCCAGGTCCCAGGAGACATACTAGATGGCTGGGCCACCTCTCAAGGCTGCCTGCCCCCATGGGCACAGTGGGGCTGAGGCCAGAGCAGAGGTCAAGAGGAGAAGCCTACAGTTTATGTCACACTGTCTTGGGGGTCTGGGCTTGGCCCTTGGGTCCCTGCCCTCTCACACCTGTTCTGCCCCCACATTGAGTTCTGTAAGGTGTTATTCAGACTCCCTTGCCCCCTGAGGAACACAGAGATGGGGAGATGGACAGTTGAGTCTGGTCCTCCCGTGGGAGCTCTGGCTGTGGTTGGTGATGACCGGTCATCCTGCCTGGTCCGGGGAGGGGGAGGCTGAGGGTGCTGCCAGTGTGGCACTGGGGTGCCAGGCCACCAGGGGTCATGGCCCCAGTCTCCCCGGTCATCCAGCTGTCCAGCCCTTTCAGCCCACCTGGCTCTGCTCTCAGCTCCAGCCAGCTGTGGCCAGTGGGAGCTGGAGGTGGGAGCCTGGCACCTCCAGTCGGTGGCCTGGGGGGTCAGGGGCTCCCTGAGGGCAGAGAGTGGGAGTTGGTGCTCTGGCACCAGGGGACACGACCCTGTGAACCTTCGGCACTGACCAGCGGGGAAGCTCAGCCCACAGCTCAGATAGGAAAGGCCAGTCCAGCCCCTCTGGCCAGGGTTACCTAAGTGAGGTACCGCATCCGTGGAGGTGGGCAGTCACTCGCTGCCCACCCTGGGGTGCCCTCATGCCTCCCCAGGAGCAGGAAGTTCTTGGTGCCGGGAAGGCCCAGCGTGTGGGGAGCCATCTGCACGGGGAGCTAGTGACCCCATGGCCAGCTGATGACACTGTAATCAGTGCTGCTGGCCCAGTCCCTGGCCTGCCGCTGCCACCACCCCCCGAGAGTATCCTGTGTCAGAACAAGCCACCTCTTCCTGTCTGGGAAAGGCGGACTCCTGATGACTAATCCTCACCCCTGCGGCGAGGACAGGCTGACCCCGGCCTCCCACTGCCGGCATCACCCTCTGCCTGGAACCAGCAGCCCAGGCCAGATTGTGCAAGACAGAGTTTCCGGAAAGTGCTCTGAAGCTAGGCGCTGCGGGTCTCACGTCTCTGCCCACGGGGCCCAGCAAGCTAGGCTGAGGGCACCTCCCGAGTGAGGAAGTGTGCTGGGAAGGGAGCCCAGAGGCCGGGGCTGGCTGGGTGGGCACAGTGTCTCCTGCTGCAGCGTGGTCCTAGAAGTCCCCGGGGGCCTGGCCTTGGGTAGGACATCATCTCCCTAGCCACACACATGTGTGTGTCAGGCATCGCTCACGTCTGTCCGCTGTCGTGTGGGTCCTGGCACTGGGAGCCCCAGTGGATGGAGGGGGTCTGGTTCCATGCTTGGGGACCCGGATGAGGGGTCTGAGGGGCTGTGGCCAGGCAGACAATCTGGGCTCACACCCCCTCCTCACCTCTCAGCCCAGCCTGCTGGGCCCACGGAAGAAAGTGCATGATCTGGTGTTCACAGGAGAAGGCCAGTCCAGCACCAGACACGTGCCGGCTCTGCTCAGCTCTGCAGTCAAAGACCTGGGCCCTGGGTGCCGAGCTCACTGCTCAGGGCGTAGGGAGGTCAGGCACCTGCTGGTCCAGAGTCCGGGGGTTGGACACAGTGACCTCAGGGTCCTGCCACCGCAGTCTGGGAGCAGAGACAGAACAGGGAGCTTTTAGTGACTTGGAGACAGGGCTTGGGGCTGGCAGGGAGGATAGCTGGCAGGTGCTGACCACTCAGGCTGGGCATAGTGCCTGCTGGGCACTGAGGCCTCAGCTCCGCCCCTGGCACCTGGCAGCGAAGAGGGGCTTCCCAGGCGGCTAAGGTGATGGCCGGCACTGACCAGAACTGCCAATGGCCTGGTCCCTATGTGAGACCCTGGGCACATCACCCACATGCACAGTGACCCCTTGAACACATTTGTGGGGAAGGAAGGGCTTGCCGGGAAATGACCCCTATGTGGAAAAACCATCAGATGAACTGCGTCCCCCAAGTTGTGTCCAAGTCCTGACACTTGCACCTGTGACCACGACCTGAGACCTGGAAGTAGCAGCTTCCTTTTGTGAAGTTGATGGGGTCACCACAGAATGGAGTGGGTCTGGAGCCTGGTCACTTCCGATGGGGTTGTAGGAGGAGAGCAGGATACAGCAGACAATGGGGCCAGGGCAGAGGACAGACTCTGCATGAGGACCCACCTACAAGCAAAGGACCCCAAGGAGTGGCGGCAGACACCAGACATTAGGAGAGAGGCCACAGAAGGCACTGACAGGACTGAGACCTGCTCTGGACTTTCAACTTCCAAAACTGTGAGAAAATAAAATGGTGTTCTTTAAAGCCATCCCCTTGTGTTAACGCTGGTTCAAAAGACTGAGACAGAAAGTCAACAGAATCACACAAACCACAGGGAGGGGCCTGGAGACCCTGGAGGAATGTGACACCCTCCAATGAAAACAGTCACAGATGTGGCCACGCCTCCCCAGCAGCCAAGCCCCCGAGTAAGCAGGGGTGCCCACACCTCGGCAGAGCAGCATGCAAGATCCGGGGGCAGGAAGCAGGCAGAGCCGAGAACACACAGGATTTCCCTGAGACAGCCGGCAGCCCCCAGCCGACTTGTGTGGGCAGGAATTCGCAAGTCGGCTGGGGGCTTGGCCAGTGCCTTGTAAATTCCACACAGCACCACAAAGGTCACCAGTGACCAGGCCGTTTTGACAAAGAAAAGCAGAGTGGGCCTGCCCTGCGAGCAGTGGGCTTCCCACCAAACCATGGGAGACTGCCAAAACCATGCCAGTCACCATCCAGTCGATGCCAACTCATGGAGACCCTGTGTGCTGCAGAAAGGAAGAAAACCAACCCCACTGCCCTCACGTGGGCTCTAATTCACAGCGACCCAGAGGACAGAGTAGAACTGCCCACAGGGTTCCAAGGCTATCAGCCTTGACGGGAACAGACTGCCTCATCTTTCTGCCACAGAGTGGCTGGTGGGTTTGAACCACTGACCTTTCAGTCAGCAGCCAAGCACTTAGCCACTTTGCCACCCAGGTTCCTAACCAAAATAACCAAACTCACTGCCGTCAAGTTGATCTGACTTATAGCGACTGCTCCTTGGGTTTCTGAGGCAGTATCACTATGGAAGTAGATTGCCCAGACTTCCTCCCAAGGAGTGGCTGGTGGGTTTGAACTGCTAGCCTGGTTAGCAGTCAGATGCCTTAGGCACTATGCCACCAGAGCTCCCACCAAGGTTCCTAGAAGCTTGTAAAATCTGCCTAGTGGCTCATTCCCAGCTCATTTATTAATTTTTTTTAAATAAAATGGAATAAAGATAGACTATTGGAATGTTTCAGGTGTGGAACCACACCATTGTCCAAGCCTGCTCCTTCCAAGATAAAGTCCCTGAACCCTGGGTCCCTGGAGCTCTGGCAGCGTAGTGCCTAAGGCACTTGATTGCTAACCAAGAGGTTGGTGGTTCAAACCCACCAGCCACTCCTCAGAAGGAAGGTTGGGCAATCTACTTGCGTAGTGATACTGCCTCGGAAACCCAAGGAAAGGCTGCTATGAGTTGGGTCTGACTTGACGCACATAACAACAATACCACCACCCTAGGTCCCAGTGAAAAGTGTGTTTATCACTGACATTGACCATCAGGGACATGTTAATCCAGCCACAAGGAGACACCACCCACACCCACTAGGATGGCCAGGATCAGGGAGATGCCACCCCACACCCACACCCACAATCAAACAGACAAAGAACAAGGGCTAAGGAGGGTGAGAAGGATGCCTGACGGTGGGAACACAGATGGTGTGGCTGCTGGGAACAGTGTGGTTGTTCATCCCAGAGCTGAACGCACAGGTGGAAACATCGACTGCTGTTGGGTTAACGTGGCCTTGTGACAACCCCGTGAGCAGAGCGGAACTGCCCTGTGGCTTCTCCACCAGGACTTTCTTCCAACACACCTGTGAGTGGGCTCTAACCGCCGCCCTTTCCATCAGCCACTGGACACTTGAGCATCCGTGCCACCAAGGAACCATGTCGTTGTTGTTGTCATGTGCCGTCGAGTCGGACCCAACTCATAGCGACCCCTCCTTGGGTTTCCGAGGCAG